TCACCTTTTGCCTCAACCACTTCAACCAAGTCAGCTATACACTGTGTCTCGGTAAAACCTGTGCCTCGGTACCCTGTCACTGTACCTGATCAACTACACATCACCCTGTACTGTGATCTCCCGTGACTTTGTACACTTGTATAAGACGTGTAAGAATTATTGAATCCGATTTTAAAGGATTACAGTGGAGCCCTAACTTATTCAGCTAGGCCCAAACTTTTTCAGCTTGGTCACTGTTACTTTTTATTTTCAGCTAGTTCACGCGTATTAATTTTCGCGCGTGTCTATACATTGTTACACATACTTATATATAGTGATATTTATTTACCTATTCATCAGATTTTTTTATTCTCTGTAAAGTATTTAATGTGTTTTTAATTTCGCGTTTTCTTTAATGACCGTAAGAATATTGAGATTAAATGAAATGCGAATAACTCTAGCTATAGAGTAGTCAAAGAGATAAACTGCGTTTTATCGAGGCTAGCCATGTAATTAGGGTATGTATTGAACGGTTAGCTCAGAGGCGGGCAAGAACAACCTCGTTTTGGCATCGTCCTTCATAGCTTCAGAACTAAGCGCTGATTTTCGTTATATCTAATGTAACTCGTTTTCAGCAAAACGATTCAAAGAAGTCATTAAGAATTTAAATGGTATAGATGATAGTATCAAGGAGGTGGTGTGTTTATCGTTGTTATACTCCTGTTTATATTGTGAGAATTCGATACTAATTTTACTCACATAAAATAGCATGCATGGTGTTGTAGACAAAGCAGTAGATAGTTACCATTTCAGAGCTCGAATTCCTATTCTCATTGCACATAGAGGATTAAATGTCGGGTCTTTGTAAATGTCGGCACTATCTTCTTTCAGTGGGAATGCCCTTCCTTACGGATCTGGTGCTGACTCCAAACGCAATGACATGGACAGATTCTAAAGATTACTGCCGTAGGATCGATGGCTACCTAATCATTCTGGATAGTAAGGAAAGGTGGAACGACTTCTTAAATGACGACTTCTACCTGACGTCTATGTCGTAAGAATTTATCTACTTTGTTTTAACATTCTTTTCGGGTCTTTTGTGTCATTAGTACACATTGTCATGAATACAATTTTGCAAATATTTCAACTATATTGAATACAGACATTGTTTTGTTCCAATTAAAATGTGTTTTCAGAAGGAACAGATAGAAATATATGTTATAAGCCTGTAGTGGGTAAAATACCGTGGAGAACACTCTACATTCTGCAGTGATCCCACCTTTAGTCGCCGAAATTGTTAAAGTCTTTTGGAATCTGCATGCATTAATAGTAACTGACAAACGTTTTTATAGTGACATCACACCGAAATATCATTACATGTGTATTGCTGTAGTATGCCCAATCACATCGTTTTAATGTCCTATTAATATACTCGGCGTCAATGAAAACGCAACACCTTTAAATTACTGTCAAAATTTACCAGTTATAGTTTTGAATACAATATTTAATAAAATACCTAAAAGTTGATTATGTCCATAACAAAATTCACCCAATGCAATTAGCACTACATCATGGGAATACTTTGATTTCCGGTGACTAATGTCCATACCCCCAAAATCAAAATTGCCACGTTCAATATCTAATGTGGCCACCATTTGCAGCGACACAAGCGCGGCATCTTCGAGGCATTGACCGAATAAGGCGTTGAATTTTGATTTGAGGAATGTTCCTCCACTCTTCCTGAAGAGCGATTTCAAGCTGCCGACGCGTCTGGGGCTGTTGTGGTCGCTCTCTCACAGCCCTACCCAATTGGTCCCAAAGATGCTCGATCGGACTAAGATCCGGCGAAAACGCGGGCCACGGAAGGGTTGCGATGTTCTGATGTTGAAGGTAGTCTGTAGTGATACGAGTGGTATGTGGTCGTGCATTGTCCTGTTGTAATAACGCTACGTTTGGGTGTCCAGCAAAGAATGGAACAACAGCAGGAGTTAAGACCTCGTTGATGTAGCGCTGTGCTGTTAGATTGCCGTCAATAATTACTAGCGGGGTACGGTATGCAAAAGAGATACCTCCCCACACCATCACACTGCCCCCGCCCCACCTATCCGTTTCCGTTACACAGCAGTCCAAAAACCTTTCACCTCGACGTCGCCACACTAGAATTCTACCGTCATTTCCTCTGAGGCGGAATCTCGATACGTCGGTGAACAGGACGCCAGCCCACCGACGTTGGGTCCATCCTCGGCGCTGTCTTGTCCAATTTAGACGATTCTGACGGCGAATTTGAGTCAATTCGTTTCCTTTAAATGGACGGCGCGACGCCAATCCGGCTGTGTGAAGGCGACGGCGCACAGTACTAGCTGACAAACGTCTTCCTATCGTCTGTCTAGCCGTTCTTGTCGCGGTTTGAAAACGATCTCGCAGGTGACTTACTCGAATGTAACGGTCCTGGTTTGGCGTCGTCACTCTCTGTCGCCCCGGACGAGGTCGATCTCTCACGGATCCGGTTTGTCGCACTCGTTCTGCCAGTCGATTGATTGTGGAAGCAGAACAACCCATTCTCCTGGCAACTTCTCTCTGAGAAAGCCCTCCTGCCAGCATACCCCGGGCTTCGTGTCTTTCATTGTCTGTCAGTCGAGGCATTTGTAGCAAATAATGATGACAATTTAAAAAATTGATGACGGAACAATGTCTGCCTGTAACTACAGTGTTCACTAGTAGTGACTGAGCAAGGATATAACGCACTTTAGAGCGCCGACGTGCAAACTCATGCTTTTATGACAATGCCCTGTGGTACGACAAGGAGTTGATATTACTCGACCATTATTTCATTAGTTTTGTAGTGCATTGTGTTGTGGCTAAATACAGCAGAATAAGAATCTAATCCTTGTTGTGAAGAATATATTGTGTCCAAAATTTTAGTGTTGCGTTTTCATTGGCGCCGAGTATATTTGTAATATAGAAAGGCATCACTCTGTATTTAATTTATGTGTATGTGTTGAGTGTTGGTATTTACGGACAACAATGATTCGTGTAAGCCTTCATTTGATAGTGTGGAACTAATGCTAGATTATTAGTTCTGCCTGACTGACGTAAACTACCGAAATCACCCAGCAAAAAAATACGTCTGGTTCTAATTTTATAAGAAATGCTTATCAAAATGTAAATAGAAACCAACTACCTAAATATGCGTCTATTGACAGAATTTAGTGTTAACTGCATTGTTCTATGATATCTAGTATGATTGGTGATTCCCGTGTTTATCACATTCCTATTGGGGAACGAGACAATACTTATTTGGACTGATCAAAATTTATGTGGTGGTGTCACTGATGATTCAGAAGATGAACCATTACCGTATTACATTTTATTCTTGTTTGTAAAGAGTCTTCGTGCAAATATTTATTTCGTTCATATCTATCTATATTTTCGTCGAATTTGATTTTGTTGCTGTCTCGTCAAAAAAAAAAAGAAAAAAAAACGACATGTCAACAGCATCAACAAATGTACTGAAACTAAAAATCCGTAAACAACCAGTTCTGGGCTTGCTTATCGGGAATTCGTCACGTGACTTTGGCAGGTGCGAGCAATTTTGGTTTAATGTGTATGGTTTAATGTCCTACCAACAAACTGGGTCATGGAATGTTTCCTATTTATGCGTGGTGGGTGTTTCTGCAGTATAAGCCCTTTAGTGAACTGATTGTTTATACACTTACTACACTGAAATATACTCCGGCCAACATACGGTGGCAATGGTCATACAAGTCGTTACACTGCAATAAGTAATTTGAGGAAATGATGACGTCTATTTTCAAAGACACTATGGCATAACCCAAAGTGACGAGCGTTCATCTAAAAGACCAATAGTGAGGTAATGTTAAAAAAACTATCATGACTGGAAGCAGCAGGTACTACAAGCAGACAGAGGTTGACTTTTATGATAGCTGAGTAACAGATGAAAATAATATATGATGTCCGAATGGTTATGGAACCTTAAAATGGAACAGTGGAAATAGATAATTTTAAAAGACATTTATTCAGTCTCTTATCCAGTGAATTCGTTATTGTTATATTTTCTCCTATGCAGCAATACTTTTTTCCAGTCAAATCAATTAGGAAGTCATGATTAGGACAGTGACGTTACTTCACCAACTGAAAATGGCGCCAATGTGTTTGATATTGGCATCCTTTATTCATTCTAAACCTGCAGAAATGCGAGGTTTCTCAGTTATACTATAAAAATTATCCCAAATTAGCTTTCATTTCATATGAGAGTTTATGACTCTCCTTTCGCAGCTCAAAATAAATGAAGACTCACTTCATAAAAGCTGGTATGAGATGAAAACTCATTTAAGGTACTGTTCATGGAGATTATTATTGGGAGATACGAAACCAAAAGAAATAGATGGTGACTATCGTATCTACCGTGTGACCGAACTGCGGATTTTCTTCTACATGCTTACACTAGAGCATGTGTTTACCAGAGAGTAAATGATAATGATCACGTGCTTGCTTTAGGAAATGAATAAGACAATAAATGTTATCATATGAAAACAAAAATACAGGAGGAAGCATCATTTAAGCCAAAATTAGTATTAGATAGGGTAGAGGACCTATTTAATTAATCAAATGATTAAATGGCATCATACAGCGGTTTCATCCTTCACGGAGTCTTAAGTGATGACACGGGACTAAAGTGTTGAAGTATAGGGGGCAAAAAGAAGAAATAAAGCAACTGCCAGCATTAAAGTGAACGTATGGATCTTTCAACTCTACTTGATATAGATATGACATGATATGAAAATTCTTTAGACGTGACATAGAACCTTTGTCTCCAATACTAAACAGAGGCGCACGTTTTAAACTAGACAATGCAGTTTTCATATGATTGAATAGATAGAAAACACAGCAAGGAAATACCAACATGGCAACTTAATCATCATTCAAACTAAAATTCCATAAAAAATTGACAAATCTCTTTTTCGTTATTTTCAAGGCAAAGCGTGAAGTACTGGATCGGAATGAGGTTCAACGACCCATTTATTTGTGACGTCTTTGGACTCTGGACCTATAGCGGGTGGGGTGTATGGTACAACAAGCATATGGAGCCAAACAACTGTCCTAAAGAAAAGTGTGTTCGCCTGCAATGGCAATACATGCATACATCTGAGTGTAATGAAAAGTTCACCGCTATATGTGAAATCAGTAAGTTTTTACTGACATCGATTTTTCTTTTAAATGAATGTTTACAATTAGGCATGTCCCGTATAAGGAGAAGGTTAATTAATTAATTCAATCTCTACACTTAAATTGACAATTACTCTTACGATGATGTAATTTCACATTCTTTTGATCAGAATTTTACTGCGATCTCTGATAGTATTGCAGCATTTATACTCAGATAATGATCTATGCAAAATCAAAATGACAATTCACTTATCTAACAGGAAGGAGTGTCACATACACAGCAATGGCGAGCACAACAACACGTGACCTTACTACAACTACCAAGACAGAGGTTGCTGAAACTGAGATCTCGTCAACAACATCCAAAAAGCCAGACTCTGATGAGGTGTTTACAACAGAAGACGAAGTGTTTACATCCTCGAGTTCAACTACGACTTCCGGTACACCAGAAATTAATGTGTTGTCTACTTCAGAAAAAAATGATGTTACGACAACGACCGAAAGCGATGGTTTTACATCTCCGAGTTCAACAACGACTTTCGGTACAACAGAACCTGATATGTTGTCTTCTGCAGGAAATGCTGATGTTATTACAATAACAACAGGAAGCAATCCGACTTTTACCAATGAAATTTCCCTTCGGTCAACGACTACGACCCATGTTTCTTCCGGAGTAGATAGAAACAAATGCAAAATATGCTGCCTGCCGAGAAACCTTACAAGACATCTTGATTTACGTGAACTAGAGGAGATCAAGCACATGTTAAAAGTTCAGTTGACCCTCAACAAAACAAGCCTGTCTTCTCATCAGCGTAAACTCATCAGTGTGTATGACTCCAGGCCCACCAGTAAAGCTATGGGAGCTTTGGCTTGCGTCATCCTGGCCGCAGCTGTCGGGATTATCATTGTACCGGACATCCTCTCTCTTGTCGGGTTTGTGTATAAATCATTTCGCACTCAATGCGAAACATTGGACATATAGCATCAGCATGGATATCATTGTTGCTTTTTCTCTTTTTTGTACTAGGTAAACAAGATCACCCGGTATGTTCCCAACTAGGTGCAATGTCAATGATAATATGAATTTATCTTATTCGTTTGCGCATTTAACACTTTTCCAACCATGAGATGGACTTTTCATATAATTGTTCAATGTTGTTAACAAGAGATATCCAAGAGGGTCGTTTTGGTTCTATACACGGCAGATAATTTCGCCAGCTTTTGATAACTAACAAAGGGTTAAAATAAACTTTGAGAAAAAAACCTCAAAGGTCAAACTCTCATCAGTGTCAAAGTTAATTGGACATGACAAGCGACCCTGGCAAACCTACATATAAAGCGATATCCTCTCAATGTCTTTCATGAAATAGAGATAAGGTTTGTATGCGCTTAACAGTGGGAGAAGGGCGAATTGAGAAGACAAAGATATCAATCTTTAAGCCGAAATATCACAGCAGTAAATTTTACCAAAGAATAACGACTGTAAAAAGTCTAAAACTATATGAAGTCACTATATCCGTATCTCGAAAATCAGAGTGCTTTAACTTTCAATCTCACAAATAATTCAGGTCCTACACATATTTAGAAGTGGACGATACTCTCGGTGTCGTTGATATGATTGAAAAGGACATTTTGCTCAAACAATGAATACTGGTCCATGATATATGTATATGGATCTCCTTCATGTTTGCAGCCAATCCATTTAAAATAATTTATGTTTTGTCTGCCATTACCTGCTTGTCAGTTATAGTCATGATGCACAGATCACTCATACGCTTTTGTTAATACCATTCATTGTACTTTTACACTGAACGATTTGTCTAACCACGATCTAAGTAGAGTAGTGTTTTACTCGCCGTTATATGACGTATGTTGAGACATATTAGCGGCGTTTTACGGTTACTTGTTTTAATCACTTTGTGTATTTGAGAATGGTTTGTAATTAAGATATGATTAAATACATTCAATTCGAATTTACTGCTAGATACACTGGATAAATGATGATACTTTGTTAACCATGTTATTTGTTAAATATATACATTTTATGTACAAGTTTCATCACGTTCACTTGATGCAGTTTGTGCTTAATAGCAAAACAAAGAAATCATTAAAATATGCACCTCAAAAAGTTAAATGTTCCGTTGGTGTAGACAACAGAAAGATATTATTTTTATATCATTTCACCATGTACTCAATAAGTGACACTAAAATGGGCAACTTTCGAAAGTAAAATGGCCTCATGTAAGCCGTTGTTTTTATTTGGTTGGTCTAACAGTGTCATATTTAATAATCAAGAGGAACAGACATATGAACGACGTAGTGACGACGATGAATGTTTTAGGATGGACCAAGGACGCAAGGGCGACATAAACAGTCCACCATTTGATAATGGCGGACTAAAGTTAGTAGTATTGATTTTTAATCATCAGAAAAAAAATTAAGGGCATTTAATCTAGTTTGAAAGCGTTCCGGTCTTGCTTGTAACACCTCCACTTTATAGAACTATGGAATTTTGTTTTTGGTTCATTAATGTGTTATCAGTTTTCATGGTACCAGTTACCTTATAAATGAGTAACCAATATTTCTACAATCGTCCATTGTGATAATCCATGCCACTATGTACCACTCTATATACTGTCGTGTCTTGACCCAAAACGGGTTTTCACAGAACATATCACACATCATGGCGGTACAAACTACTTTTTTTATTATTGCGCTGGGCGGGACTATTTTCAGGAGCCGGACAAGGAAATTCCGGATTCACATGCATGGTATAGTAAAATACATCACATCTCTCCCATACCAATTTTGAAGTGATTTAACCATGTCCATCAAAATCAGTTCTTGCAAAATAAACTAATTAAATTCACCGATATTTTTAGTTTAGATATATGCCAAATTATGGTACAGGTACTTTTGAATTGAAAACTGCGTTTTGTATGAACTTTAACATAATAACAAAACTAGTGTAACATATATAATTCACTAACAGTAGTAGCACCGTGAATACTTAAAAGTTGACTGACAAAGCATCTGCCTGATACTTCATTACAAATAAAACAACTAAGGAACCTAAGTGGTTCCTGTGATACACACGGGGATTATTGTGCCCCTTGTCACGGTGTGCTCACCATTATAACTCAAGATGTATTAAAAGTCTGCTACTGAACACAGAACCTTAGATCCTAACAAAATCTTGAAGCCTCTTTGGAGGAACGATGTTGCGACGCGGATAACGACGCTCAGGTGATGACACCTTTCCTGACTCGGTGACTTTTGGAGATGATGCACAGACTTCAGTCGATGACTATTGATGTATAGTCGACGGTACTGAAGACGCATGGCTGCCGACGACTCCTGACGCGTCACTTACAGGTTTTTCCATGACAATTATTAAGGTTTCGGCTGAGTGTCACCCTTCATTGGTAAGTTAACTTCCAATGTATTCTCGTCTACTTCGGTGGAACGAATCTGGTCCAAGTGTCTGCGCCAGAGAACACCAGGAGCAATTTCAACAGGATAAGAAACGGGTCCAGTCTTTTCCGCGATTTCACCATACACCCATTTTTGTGAGTCTCTATAATCACGGACAGCTACCTTTTCTCCCACGGAGAATGACCTGCGTCGTTTCGACTCTTGTTTCCATTGTTGTTCATTAACGCGTCGTTGGACATCAGGTTTGATCAAATCCAGCCGTGACGGTAAGTTGCGTCCCATGAAGAGTTTTGCCGGGCTCTCATTTGTAGTCATATGTTTGCTGTTCCTATATGCCAATAGGAAGTTAGCCAAGCGTTTCTGGATCGACCCATAGTCTTTCTTACTTGCTTTCATTGCGGTTTTGAAAGATTGGACAAAGCGCTCCGCCAGACCGTTCGTACTCGGATGGTACGGGGCGGATGTTGTGTGTTTAATCCCGTTAGACTTCATAAAATTGGCAAAATGTTCAGATTTGAACTGTGGGCCGTTATCACTCTCAACCTGAGCTGGAACTCCATTCCTGCGGAATATTTCTCTCAGAACCTCTTCAGTTCGCTCTGCCGTTGTCGAAGTCATAGCAACCACTTCCGGCCACTTTGAATGAACATCTACAGCTACGAAAAACATCCTGTCGAGAAATGGTCCCGCAAAGTCGATGTGAATGCGTTGCCACGGAATGGATGGCCATTCCCAAGGATGAATAGGTGCGGCTGGCGGTGAATTCTTGATGTCTTGGCATCCTACACAAGACTTACAAACATGCTCGATGTCAGCATCTGTTGCCAATTGCACTTTCTTGCCTGGATCAAAATGAGTCAGTACTTGTTCCGATGCCACAGCTTCCTTTACGCGCTGAAATGCAGTATCGCACTCTGCCGACCACCCCCCACTTCCGGTTTGCCTCCAGAAGCTGGTTCAATTGGTTTACCATTGATGACAAGTTTTTAATGAACTTAGCATAGTAATTCACTAGTCCCAGAAATGATCTGAGTTGGTTGACGTTTTCTGGGCGCGGTGCATTAACAACAGCTTCCACCTTGCTTGGCATCTTGTGTAGTCCATCTTTGTCAATGGTGTGCCCACAAAATTCGATCGAGTCTTTGAAAAACTCACACTTTACCTTGTTAACGCGCAAGCCGAAACGGTCTAAACGCTCAAGTACTGTTTCTAGATTGGCCAAATGATCTTCGTCGGTCGTGCCCGTAACGATCATGTCATCCAGGATACACTGCACGCGTGGAATGCCTTGAAGAACTTGGTCAATGGATCTCTGCCAAATAGCTGGCGCCGACGCAATTCCAAATACCAACCGATTGTACTGAAATAACCCACGATGTGTGTTGATTGTCAGGTAATGTCGGTCCTCGCAGATAAGCATTCCTGAGATCAATCTTCGTGAAATGTTGGCCTCCACCAAGTGTTGCGAAAATGTCGTCAATCTTGGGCAGTGGGTACTGGTCTACATCCAGAACCGGATTTATTGTGACCTTGAAATCCCCACATATGTGGATGCTTCCATCCCGCTTTGGTATGGGAACAATGGGGGTTGCTCATTCGGAATGTTGAACTTGGGTCAACATGCCAGCGCTCACTAGGCAGTCTAGTTCTGTCTCAACCCTCTCTTTCATCGTAAAGGGTACGGTCCGTGGTTTACAGAATTTTGGATTGGCTCCCTCCTTAACCTTGATCCTGGCAGTGATGTTTCTTAGAGTGCCTAATTCATCCTTAAATACGCTTGGAAATTTCTTAAGTTGCTGAGCCACACTCAGAGGGGGTTTTGAACCACTGGCCATTGCGACAGACTTTATCTCGTGCCAATCCAATTTTATCTCGCGCAACCAGTCTCTACCGAATAAGGGTGGTCCTCCATGTTTCACTACATACATGTCCAGACACTTATGCTGATTATTTAGATCAACTTCCACTGTACATATTCCAAGTGGACTCAACTTCTCACCACCATAAGTTTTAAGAACTACTGAGGTATCCTTGAGGTCATGCTTTCTCTTGGGAAGGTACTTGTCAAATGCAGATTTGCTGATGACGGACACTGCTGACCCAGTGTCTAACTCCATTGCAAGTTCCACCAGGTCTATCTTTGGGTATAACCAGATGACATCTGAGCCACACGATCTGTCAGAAATGTTAAATATTTCCAGTGAACTGATAAGTTCGGACTCAGACTCGCACTTTGTGTACAGGAGCACTTCTATTTCTAGGCTTACCAGACCTGCAAGCCTTCTTGATATGTCCCTTTTTATTACACGCGTGAAAAATCGCGTCCTTGAAGCGACAATCATCTGCTTTGTGTGTACCCTTACAACGGTAACACTCTGTCCCATTATTTTTATGAACAAATGGTTTCCGTGCAGTCTGTGGCTTACTTTTCCGTATTTTATAAACAGGGACCTTCACGTGCTGTTTCTGTAGCTCTACCGCATCCCTTGTTGCTGTTTCCACGGCGACAGCAACCTCTAACGCCTTCTGGTACGTTAAATCAGACTC